GTTTAATTTTGTACTCACTATGAGGGTGTGGGTGTGAGTGTAGTTCTTATTTTCATTCACACGCACAACCACCCACACCCTTCTTTATTAAAATGAGCTTTGATTTTTAACATTCATTTGACGTACTAATCTGTAAAATATCTTAGCCTTATCTATTTGTTCTCTATTTGAACAAAATTTTGAAAGTATTCGTTCAATGTTCCATGCAAAATTCACTCAAGCTACCAACCATAAGAATTTACATTTTCGTTTAACGATAACAAAAATAAAACAGTATTTGATATGTAGTAGTATAAACATCGAACACTTACACATTAATAGAAAATTTTTTTTAAAGTTTTCTTTTATATCATATTATTATAATCTAATTTTTTTAGATAAAAATGTGATGCTGTTTCATAGGACTATTCGTTTTCAATTCCAATATCGGATCTCATCTATTGCTTTGTTATAAATACCAGTTGAAAACAAATAACACAATGCAGTATTTGTTCAAAGATATAAATATTGCGATATAATTATTAATACAGTTTGTTGATGACGTACTGTTTTATACATTGCATTCTTAGAAAATTTAGCTGTATATTAAATACGATTAAATTCATTGTTTTGATCAGTAGGAGGTATTGGTGATCAGTACCTATTACAGTTTTCTTTCTTTCTATCTATATTCATGCAGATTTTGTCTAAATTGAAAAAAAAGAATAAGAAATCTAGAAACTATTTTTATAAATTTCTTATGGTTACCTCGTATTTTGTTCGACTAGACGATAGTGTTGTAGATCATCTTCTACTGAAGATAATTCTCCTTGTATTTCATATACCTTAAATAAATGAATGCTAATATTAAACTATGAAGATATTTTCGACTTCATTTTGTGCATCAATAAGAATTTTTTTCATTGTTTTTACCATTACTATATTATCTACAATAAAATATAATCGTTGTAATTGAAAGTAAAAAAAAACAAAAAAAAAAAAATAGAAATTATTCTGAATAAGTTCTTTTTTACTATAGGCATACGTAAAAATATTACCTCTTTCAATTGATGTGTAATTATAATTAATAATTATTTTCCTCTTCAAAATTGGTTTTCTATACATCCCATCGACTTGCAAAACAAAAGTTTTTTCTCTTATCATTATCTAAAGAAGTCCTCTATGTTGCGCGAACGAAAAGTAAATCCAAATTTTTGAAAAATCTATGCATGCTCAGAAAAACTTTCGACGGAGATTGTTTAATCTCAAGAGTGTGGTCTACAGAAATGTATTAATTATTAGTTTCCGAACATGTTGCTGTCATTTGGACTTTTTTAAACTAAGATTTATGAAATGAAAGTAAATATTCTTCTACGAGTCATGTTGTTAACACTAGGTTCTTGATGGTAATTTTGACGAAAAAAAAGCCTTCAGGTATAATTTTTTCGAAGGTATCTAGAATAACTGAACATATAAAAATTAGCTCTCAGACAGTTCATTATCTCAAAACATATGCCCTTTAATTTTGCAAATTCACATTGCTCATGAATGGTTGTGCTCAAATATTCTTAGATATGCCATCAAAATAATATTGATTATGTTCTCAGAATAATATTCTATACAATTTAAAAAATTTATTAATTTAGCATATTAGAGATCTTCGATATACTTGAAGATTCTATTTAAAATTTAATTTAATACAAATATTCTTTAATATATTTAAGACCTTTATTTATAATCAATGATATTCTATCTAATAACCACCTTTTATTCAATTATTGACATATACTTAATCACATTATTAATAAACAATTGAAAAGAATAAAAGAATTAATTGAATCGATCATTTTGAATTAAGAAAAAAAATTCTATGACTTATTTATACAATATTAAGTCTAACGAATTTCTTAAATTCTTCTAGCAATCTTCAGAATTCTCTCGTGTCTTATCATTAACTGATGTTGATATCGAAGTCTAATACAATGATTAATAGCTATTTTTATATTAATAGTTGTTCAACTAATTCACTAGTTGTTATTACTAGAGTTGAATTACCATGAGTAGTTGATAATAGTTCATCTGCATGATTCTAATCTACTAGACAATACTGTACGAGTATTTGATTATTTCTAGCTACATAAACTTTGATTGATGATGTACAATTAATAACATAATGTTTGTTTATTTAAAATGTTTTTCAAAGGTTTTCAAATAACAGAGCAAATATATCTTCAATATGAAATTATTTAAAAAATTTTCTTCAATTACGATAATAATAATAATAATATTTTGTTTCAGTTGTAGATTGAACTTTTGAATCACAATTTTTCACAGATGCTAAACTATTACTTTGCTCAAAAGTTAATTTCTATGTAATAAATTCTAAAAGAAAAAAGTTATCAAATTGAGAGAATAATATGAGAAAAGAATTTTTCAGCTTGCCTTCCAAATAAATGAGTCTATTTGATGAATATTTTATGACGGTGTAGATGTGGATGTGAGTGCTCTATACATCGTCTCTTCATCCACTCATATCAACACCCACACCCTTTTTCAGTTGTTTTTTTGCTTGTATTGAAGAAATAAGATGAATATGTCAATTTTTCTATGTTCTTTATGCAATTCAGCTAATCATGACTATGTTGCAAATTATTAACTTTTATATTATCTTACTGAAAACTTGTCGTAAGTTCATATTAATGTAAATTTCGTTTCTTTATCTGATACTGAAGGAAGTCAATCATTATGTATCATTGTCTGTTGTTCAACAATGCCAACAGTTTCACATCATACAAAAATGAGTATCAATGCGTGTGGTCCATTTGAAATATATTTCGTTTTACCAATATATTTTTTGTTTGGCGTCATTGTTTGTCTACTCTCCGTGTTGTGTATTTTACTGTTGTCATGAGCAGTGCCTCTCAAGAAAGCGTTTGATTGACCGAAATTAAAAAAAAACGAATAAAGAAGAGAGAAAAAAGAAAAATAAGTGAAGCATGTTTATGTTGCACAAGTAACTCAAGAGTCCTTCGACAAGCAAACGACGCAATTTGCATATTCAACATTCAACCAAGCTGGAGATTATTGCTATTGAAATTTTTTGAAAAATTTTATTTTGATTATTGCATCCTGGTAAGTAAGTTACGACCATGGTTTCTAAGCAGATCTTCGAGTTTTTTAAACGTCATCAGTATGACTAAAGTATGACTAGAATATTCATTACAAAGAATCGAGACAGAAATGAAATAGATATTCATCACGAACTTTCGTTTATCTGATCTACTGATGATTTTTTCTTAGTCAGAAGTCTATCAAGTATATTTACCTGTATGAATCGCACACAATTTTATTGATTTAATGGTTCTTTTTTGTAGAATTTTGTCCACATTTTACATAGTTAGCTTTCTATGTGTGTATCCTATTCTATTTATGACCTTTTCGTGATTTTCGATATTGAGATCGAACTATCAAAGTAATGTCACTGCTTATTTCATAAGATAAGACCTAAAGACGATACTTTTACGCTTCGCAAGTTTACCTATTGAGAAGAACGAGTGGATCGTTAACAGTGAGTGTGAAACCTTTGTGTAACATAAAAATGCTTAGCAGTGGAATCGAAAACCTTTTCAGGGTTGGTATGGATGTGTGGGTGTAGATGTAGGGTGCGGGTGAAAATAAGAACCCCATCTACCCACACCCACACTCAAACACCCACATTTACTAAACTAAGCTCAAACATCCAATCCCACATATCGATGTGCTGAGTACAAGTACCTCAGATTCGGTTAGAACGTTTAGGCTCTGGCTGAGCTTAAGTCTGACCAAACCTGACCATGCCAAAGCCGAGCTTCACCTGCTCGGTCTAGGCTCGGACTCGGCACATACCTAATTCTACTCATAACGATACATCTACATTCAATCAGGGTGTGGGTGTGGATCTGAGTGTGATGCTTTGTGGATGGGTGTGAGTGGATGTGGTTATGGTAAGCGAGCTGTGGCAACATCACACCTAATGTCCGCGCCAAAATAAAAGAGGGGTAGGTGTAAGCTCAATAAACCGACAACCGCAATAGCTAGCGACCTGCAGTTTTCATCAATCGAAAGAGGAGGAGTGGGCAAGTCTTTTTCTCTGATAATGTATAAGACGAAATTCTTTTAAAACTAATGATATTTGAAAAACATGTAAAAGACCTCATGAAAATGACCTGCCAGTTAGATGAAATTTTGATTTTGACGTTCGATTTAAATAGAGGAACTTGAGATCTACAGTTCAAGACACAATGCGCTTTCTTACTTTTTCTTACATTTTCATCGAAATCTCAAGCTACTAGGATAAAATGTGCGAAAACTTAGTAAAAAAATCAGCAAAATTTCCTATTATTTGCGTGTGTAAGTACACGATTCCATTTGCTCAACGTTAGAATGTAATAAGACATCCATTTGCATTGTGTCTTGAACTATAGATCTCAAGTTCCTCTATCTAAATCGAAGGTCAAAATCAAAATTTCATCTAACTGGCAGGTCATTTTCATGAGTTCTTTAGCATGTTTTTCAAATATCATTAGTTTTAAAAGAATTTCGTCTTATACATTATCAGAGAAAAAATCGTGCCCACTCCTCCTCTTTCGATTGGTGAAAACCGCAGGTCGCTAGCTATTGCGGTTGTCGATTTATTGAGCTTACACCCACCCCTCTTTTATTCTGGCGCGGACATTAGTCATGCACATCCAAACACGCGTACTCAATTATCCGTGCATCAACAACCACTGAGAATCCCTCGTACCCACACACTCACCCACACCCATACACCACACCACCCACACCCACACCCCACCCACCCCACACCCACCCACACCCACACCCAACCCCACCCACACCCATCCACACCCCACACCCATACCCTCAAGATCTATAGAAAGCTTCTTTGAAGTATTTGCAATAATATCAACCTGTAATTTCATCTCTTGATACATTACATGATAGAAAATGTGTTATTTTCAGATCAAAATTGCTGTTTATTAATGGCGGCTAAAAGTGGAGCAAGACGAAAGTTGGCTCTTGTAATTGGTATTGGTAAATATGAACACTGTGACGAATTACAAAATCCAGAAAATGATGCGATTGATATGTCATCGACTCTGGAGAGTATTGGTTTCACTGTTGAAAAGAGACTACATTTAAAACGTGTTGATATGAGACATGCTATTATTGATTTCGAAGAATCAATAAAGCCTGACGACATGGTGCTGTTTTATTTTGCTGGACATGGGATACAATGGGAAGTATGTATTAATGTTTTGATATTAAAACTTCGTCCTTTTTTCTATGATCATTGTATTTATGGTACTTTTAGGATCAAAATTATTTGATACCATCAGACACTCCAACTTTGAGTGGTGCGGATTTAAATACGAGCGCTATTAATGCGCAAGATATTCTTAACAATTTAAGTAATCGCAAGCCATATGTAACAATATTTCTCTTAGATTGCTGCAGAAAATATCATTTACGTAATCCTACAGTAGATGCACGCGGTACAGATTTAAATAATCAAAAAGCAGTAGGTCTCAAAGCCATGCACAAGGCTGGGTCATTAATAGCGTTTGCTTGTGCACCTGGAACTATAGCCATTGAAGGACAAGGACAAAGAAACGGCTTATTCACAAAGCATCTTTTGGAAAATATTAAAAAAAAGAAAGAAGACATCCAAATGATATTACGTGACGTTACCAAAGGAGTAATAAACGAGTCGAACTCAAAACAAATGCCATTCGTGAGTGCTTCTCTATCAGAGAGGGATATATATTTATGCAGTGGCAGCCTCAATCAACCACGTAAATTCGGTAAATACGCTAGTGACTTCTACTGTTGTTGTTTACTAGAAATTCAAATATTACCATAACAATTGTCTGTGTCAAGTGTATTGATTTCTAAATATTTAGAGAAAAAGATTGTTAGCATCTGAATTGTTCTTAGACTTAATCTGAGTCGAATGGTATAGATAAGGTCATTGAAATAAAAAGAATCAGTAATATAGTGTAACTCTAAAAGAATATGTGTACTTAGTCCTCTAAGCGAGCACCATCGCATTTTTAAATAATGATAGTAGATCGGCAGCATTTTGAGCATTATCACTAGTTGATTAGAGATTATGTGTAATTGAAAATAACCAGTCAGAAATTTTAATACGCCCAAAAGAATACTACGGAGCAACTCAAGCTTCGAATGAGTTGAAATTTTGGGAAAGTTGCAACTCGTCACGATTTTTCTTGTCTGGCTTTCGTAACGAATTGACAGTACGAAAGCCCGTAACAGAGGTTTCGTAACGACAGAATCAGGGCTTTCGTAACAAAAAATCAGAGCTATCGTAACGAATTTTACAGGGTGATCGTAACCGGTGGTTTGATATGTGACTGCGTTACGATGCCCCTAATTTTTGTTAAGAAATCCCTGTTGGCTCGTTGCGAAAACTCTGCAACTGTTACGAACTCCCTGTAAATAACAGCTACGATAGCCCTGTAAATTTTGTTACGATATCCCTGTTTTCTCGTATATCCCTGTTTTTAGCGTTACGAAAGCCCTGTTTTTTCTGAAAAATTCAACTCGTCACGTGACGAGTTGCAACCTTCTCGAAATTTTTATATTGGAACTAGATCAATCAGTCACGAGTTTGGTCTAGTTGAAGTTTTCAAGCCAACTGAGTTTCATCGGTTTTTCATTCTTTTTCGGATACTTTCAGTTGGCCTATAGCGTTCATTTCTAATCATTTTCAAATTTTTAGCGATCAAAAGATAAGAGCTTGACAGTGTTTAACTGATCAATTTTCAGCTATTGTTAAAATCCCAGCTCTGAACTGTTTCTTGAACACTTTCGTCGTAAGACGAGAGGCTCGGATCATGTCTAATAAGTTTATGCTCATGGAAAGCAAACCAGACATTATATTTTAATTTAGATATAAATTAATGATTTTTGGTCCTGAAATGTTGAGCTCATAGCTCTGAACTCTTTCTAACCAATTCTCACAAAAGTTCAATACCTAGTACTTTTCATTTTATCATGTTTTTGAAAAATATGAGAAGGGATTCCGCTCTACTGTCCAGATTCTGTCAACTACTAACGTCATATTACTATGATATTATTGAAATGTTAATAAACCTAAACTAGAAAGTTAAATGAAGGCAAACTTACGTTTTAACTCAACTTCTCTTTCTGTTGCTAATAACGTCATTTGAAGTACTGAAATACGTTTCGGCTTTATCAAATATTTATTTTTAATAAGAATAAATCAACCTTAGTTATTCAAAAGAGGTTTTCGTTCGTTTTTAATGCTGCTAACGCATATTAAACGTACCAGACCGAAATAGGAATTGCTAGTTTTATAATGTTCAGCAGTGATATGAGTTGTACATTGTACATCTTTGTAAAATTCAATGAACAGGCTTTTTCGAAAAAATGAATTGATTTACTCACGCACTAAAAGGATTGATTTTTTTGCCAATAAAGTCAGGATTTCCAAGCGGTTGGTTCGATTCAGTCGAAAAAACACTTCAATAATTTCAACTATGATCTGGAGTTTAATTGACATTTAATCGAGACTGCTGCATGTATGCACGAACGATAAAAAAAGCCAGTCACACAAATTTTGTTTTCAGACATAGAAAAGAAGAATTGACTTTGATTTCATTTTTCCTTGTTAGAAATGTTCAAAAAAATTCACTAAGTGAACATTATTGAACTTCCTCATCGTTATACAATAAATTTAAATGTATGTGAACCTTCTGACTGTACGTCAAGCATTCCAGGCGATTACAGTAGATTGGTCAATATCTTTTCGAACGCCAAACATTGTCTTTAGAATGATCTATTATTACAAAAACTTTTACTATCTAGAGTTGAAAAGAGTATTAGAGTTGAGGAGTTTAAATTTTCTTGAGTTTCTCTACACTACTATTGAATTTGTGAGTGATACTGGAAATACTCTGTTTTTAAATAACGCTCTTTAATACAGACAACATTCTCATTCAAGATCAGATCATCTATTCATATCGACAGATGCTAGTATATATTTTTGAATTTTAGAACAACCGCAAAAATTTTTACAAATATCGAACAAGGACATACAACTGGACGAGGAAATTGGTCGTGGAGCGTTTGGAATAGTTTATCGAGCTCAATGGTTAAGTCGACATCACACAGTAGCTGTCAAAAAGTTACATCTCACCCAGTTGGACAAACAAGCTGAAAAAGATTTTTTCAAAGAACTTTTGTTAATGCATAGTATTCGTTATCCTCACATTGTCACTTTCTATGGTGCATGTACAGAGCATGGAAAGTATGCATTGGTAATGGAATACATGTCGTTAGGATCGTTATACAAGATTCTACACAAAGATAAAGAACCACTAAATTGGTCTCAAAGATTATCCATCGCTTTACAAACAGCTAAAGGCATCAATTATCTACATAAGCTAGAACCACCCATTTTACATCGTGATATCAAGTCGTTGAATTTGTTGTTAGAGACATCACATGACGGTTACATTGTGAAAGTGTGTGATTTTGGTTTGGCTGAAACACGAAATGAAACAACACGGCAAACTCGTTTCACTCAAGTGTTGCCTTGTACATTGCAATGGACTGCTCCAGAAATACTTCTGTTAGAAGACTATGTAGATAAAAGTGATATTTATAGTTTGGGAGTCGTATATTGGGAACTCGCTAGCAGCAAAATACCCTATGATGGTCATCAAGACGGTGTCATTCGTGCATTCGTTCTTGCTGGTGACCGTTTAAAGATACCAGAAAGTACACCATCTATTTTTTGTGAGCTTATAAAGAAATGTTGGGCGCAAAATCCAAATGATAGACCGAATTGCTCTTATTTGATCCAAGTCATCGAAGAATATATTACAAATCAAAGTAATTTATTTTTGTTGCTCTGCTTCGATGGAGTGAGATGAATTGATATTAAGTGCGCAGTATTAGCAGAACTAGATGGACCGTTTCCTAATATTTGATTACAGGAGATTTTCCGAAGTGCTTGAATGAAACAATAATCGAAACAGACTACTAGTATTGAGCGTGAAGACTGAATTGAATATTTGCTTTATTGTTTAGGTACTCAACTTCTCAACGTTGCTTTTAATTCTTACTAAAAATTTTTAGTGCCTTCAGCAAGATAGGTGCCCCGTGTAATTACCTTCGTGAAATATTTGCATAGTTGAATTCATAGTTTAAGTAGTTCAATCCTTGAATTTTAACTTTTCAGGTTCCACATTTTAAGTCTCAACATGAGTAAAGAGAAGGGCCAAACATAAATCATGCATACGAGCTTGAAAGTTCTCTTAGATTCAAGCTTTAGATTTGAAGTTTCAATTCAACTTCTAATTGTCAGACACACTCATGTTTCTTTCTATATGAGTGTCACAGAAATAGAAACCATTGAATGAAAATTGAATTTCCAATTTCAAGTTTCACACTAGAGGCCTCGTCTTCTAATAGATATCCAATTAATCAGATTAGAGCACAACTATAGATTGTGAATAATACAGTTTTGTCTTTACAGAGCTTACTTTGCTTCTGTTTTCTACTGACATCATCTTTTTGTGATACAAAGATAAGGGTAAACAAGAAAGCAAGAATATATATGAATTGCTTAGAATATACCAAGGAAAGAAAAGCTGAAATTTCAATAGCGATTGATTGTTTTTCGTCTTGTTTTCGTTTATAGATTGATCCATTTCAAAATAATTTTCAGAAGATGTACAATTTCAATTGTATTGTATTGTTCTTTAATATGGTTTTTTTAAGTCAACTCAGATAAAATCTAATATATGATCAACAACCACTTTGTGTTTGATAAAACTCTTGTATTTCTTCTTAGTCTCACTTTCAAAATTATCTAGAAATAATTGATTCTGATGAAGTATCGAAAACTAATGCCGACGCGGCACTTCAACGTGATTGTAGGTGTATGGGTGATGATAACACATAGACGTACATCTACACCTACACTCTTTCTGAAGATTTACTCATGCTCAGCATTTGCTACGTATCATCATGGAACTTGTGCATGAAATGAAAATGCTACTGTTGGAACGAATAAGTTGACAATCAGGCATGATGCAGAAGAAAAAACACACCATAAGAGAGCTTTCGTCATAGTTTACGCCTACTAATGGAACTTTTTTCCGTTTCCCTGCTTATATTGTCAGACGCTGTTCTGCCTCTTATTATCCTGAACTAAGTGTTACTAATGGGAAATGCAAGACGAAGATAGAAACCAACCACATGTTATCTGCGCTGTTCCTCTTTATTAAATGTTTGATTTATTTAAATACGCAAATTGCGATCGACAATGTCTTATAGAACGGTTTATTTACTTCACGTTTTTGGAAAAATTAATCGTGTGTCATTCACTCTACAAACCAGAACTATTATTTCATAATGGACAACAGAACATTTTCTCAGTAATTAGTTGCAGAGATTGACCATTAGAATCAATGACACTGTCAAATACTAAGAAGTAGTCTATACTTTGGTAAATGATATTACAGTTGTATTATAGAACTAGGGAAGACTAGAACCTTGGATAAAAAGAGTAATACAGGTCTCTGTAACGAAGACATGGATGACTTGTTTTTGGAAAACTTCGAACTACATAGACCAAATCCCTGTTCATTTAAAGTTCATCATGAAATCGGCAGAGGTGCAGTCGAGTTTGAGTTAGTCTTGCTAGCAATAGACAGTGGAAAATGTGCAGATTTGATGGGAGAATAAGCCATCATCAGCAAACGAAAAGAGAAATGAGAGAATATGAATCTGAATGCGCTTGTTGTCTTCTCATGTAAAAAATGACAGAAAAAAAACTTAATTTTAATCGAATTTGTTGATGTCTTGACT